TTTACCTTTAATTTTCGAAGGGTGTTCTTTTCTGTCAGAAAACTCTTGAAATACAATCTGGATCTAGGCGCAGCGACTGAGAAAAGAATTCACGACACGATTCAATTCGTTGTCTGAAGGCCTGTGGGCGTGTCGTGCTATCAAAATCAAAGCCTACGTGCCGGTGGTAAATAATGCCTGACTCGAATTCAATAGGCCATTGTTAAAGAATTGCATTTTGAAACGCACTACAACCAAAACTTTTAGAAAATCAGTCAAGAAAGCCTGAGCGGATTCCTCCAACAATCCCTGTGTACCGCTATCGAAGCGTACCTGAGAATCCCTCGAGCTATCATTCGTGCCGGTAGCAATATCTAATCTCCTTATTTGGTTGTTAGAACGTTGGAGATAGTTGCAGAGTTACAGTACCATGTTTCAACTCAAACTGCACCTTGCGTGCCATAATCACATTTTTACCATATTCATGGCGTATTCCCATGATCTAAGCTAAAACTTATGCTTATGCAAAAAATGTCCTAAATCTAGGGACAAATGAACAGTTTGGGTAAGAATCTATCCTTACCACTATGTCAAGGTGTGAGGATTCTTCCTTCCCAACAATATCACCTGCTTTTGACAAAGTGGTTCCTATACCACAAGAAAGTTATGTAACTAAACCGATCACCTCACCTCAGACTGGACTCGCATCCGGTGGAGAAGACGGCATACGAATAGCTACCTCGTAGGGTGGCGGTGGACCTTGGGGTACACCACATATCCACATGTCCTCCGCCAACGACTCACTCAAACCCGTGTCTGAAACATTTATTTTTCCTAACTTGAAACTGCTAGATCATCTCGGACCTCACCTTGCGTTTGGGAGTTTTGTGATTGTGATCTATCAGCGTATTGGCTGTAGATACGGCACCCGAACGTGAAAAGAAAGACTATGAAGAAAATGCCTATTGTGACGCCAGCAGCCACTCCACTGCTCACCGAGGGATGTTCTGAAAAAAAAAGGTAATAGTTATAAGAAATAACAATATAGGATAGAAAATAAAATAAAAGTATCGTATAAAATTATTAGTATAGTAATAGTATTGAAGTATAGTAGCGTAGGATATAATAAAAGTATGAGTATAGCAGTAATACAGTAGATAGAAAAAGTAGTCGAATGATTTATCAGTACCCTACCTAATGGGCACGTCAACAGTAGATGGAATAAGTAATCAAAGGAATGATCAGTGCCTACCTAATGGGCATATCAACGATCCCCTTCTCACGGAACATAGGAGAATGTGAATCAAAGAAATCGCTGGCCGCCGTTCCAACGCCTTCCTCATCAACTGGCTCACTATCAATGTTACGGCGCTGGTTACGCATGACAGCGCTATTTCCACGCTGTAGAATGCGGCCTTTTACATAACACTGTCTATACTAAACATAAAGGGCGAGCAGGACTGGAACAGCCCCTTTCCAAACTTTCCAAAAGTCTTACATTCCAGGACCTGACTTCTCATAGACACCGATAAGATCCTTTGCTGAATTTTGCGCAACAGATAGTTCACCTTATCTCTAAAGCACTTTAGCCGCCAAATATGGAGAATCAAAAAATTGAATAGCGGGTATTCGGAATACCCAACGGGAAGAAGGACTCTTCGACTCTTTCTTTCTCGGCTAAGTGGTATAGACAGAAATGTAGACTTTATAAAATAGTATTGTTATTATTCAATAATTTAATAATTTAAATTTCAATGATTAAGTTTGTAATTATAAATGTATAATTTATAAGGGGTCTGGATAACAAGGTAGTCTAGTTTCCGTTTCGCTCATGCCCTTAGAGTATAAAGGCTGCCGGCTAAGTAAATATTGTAGGCTGCTGAAGAAAAATAAGACTCACTTTCATGATGCTCATTAACGTAGTATCGATCCCAGGTGACTGGCCGATAGGTGTGATATGGCCACAATGCCTGCATGCTAGCATTCGAGGCCAGCCTTTATCTGAAATTAGTACCATTGAGGGACTTCGAGGTGAAATATAGCTTCACTGAACCGAGGCATGCTTTTCATTTCAAAATTACGAATTCAAGTAACTCGAGTCAGAAAAGACTAGGCATGGGAAAGTAAAGACAGGCATGTTATTTGTCAGGCGACCCAAAACCAGACCGGGAAAAATTCAAGTGACAGGCTGGCTGATTTGTTGATGAACCTCCTATCGATGAGAAGGATTGTCAACAATGGCTAAATTAAGGATGTCATCAAGAAGCGATGCGAAAATGCCAGAGATCTGCGCGAGAAAATGAGTAAGAATTGGGTGGTATGATAATACCAGAAGTTTATTTACCAAAGTTGACTATACACCATGCACCCGGCTCCCATTCAGAGTTCGGGCATGGCCTTCTAATGTCTACTCCACGTAAAGAATGACAGACTTTGCAAATCATTGCATGAGATAGGGGCTCATTCTATTACTGCTACGACACTGTATGGAACGGTATGCGTGGCGTAACCAAGATAGTTCACCGAGGATTCCAAAAAACCAATCGTAACTGCCACAAACTGGGGTCCCCCTATCAAACCTCCCTGACACATAGAATACAAACAAAGACAAAAAATCGATATCGATCACCTCACTAACGACTCTTGCAGTGGGAACCATAAATTTTTCAGAGGTCAGGATCGGTGGAAGTACTGGTTAAGGGCAGAGTGATTAACACTGCCGTTTCTGTCAGGTGTTTTTGCCCCGAAGTCACTCACGAAGAAAGGCTCCCATTTCGGCTGCCTGGTGAAGATCCGCAAGATCTCGGAATTCGAGAAAGCTCTTGAATGTAAACCCCGTGCTGAATGAGAGCATACCATTTGGCGCATAGGGTGAAGCTGACCTCGAATGTCACCTAATTCTCATTCTTCCGCCCAAGAGGGAGCAAGAGCCTTCTAAAGAAAGCTTCGACCGCTTCCTTTCTCCCTAATTCACAACATGCACGCGTTGTCGGCCCCTATCCGTTGTGCTGCCTCGCCCACCCACTCTCTTGCGCACCCTGACTTGCT